AAGAGTATGGCCTCAATGTGCATCCATTTAGCTATAAATGTCTCTGGTTTCTCATTCTTTATGGCTGAGTAGTATTCCACTTTATAGAAAAAGCACATCTTCTTTATCTAGTCTCCAGTTGATGGGCATTTGGACTGTTTCCAGGTTTTAGCTATTAAAAACTGAAAAGTACAGAAAATATTAACTTTTTAATAAGAGTAATTTTGATGATTTCAAAATTTTGTATGGGTTCCTAGAAAATGTAAAGTTTAGAAAGAAAAGAACAGGGAATAAAAAGATACAGAGAATGACAGGTCTGTGAGAACATATTCTTGATGAAGGACATGGGAAAAAACAAGATAGAGTAGTCTCTTATTAAAAAGTGGGGTTTCCCTGGTAAGTTTTTGCCTTCTCCAGCATGGAAAATGAGATAAAGACAAAACCAGAGCACTAAAACAAGTTATAGCAGATGCAAAGAAGTTATAGAAGTTTTGTCAAGAGTGAGCTTTACAAAAAGAAGTTTGCCCCCTCCCTACCCTCCCTTCCAGCCTTCTTCCCTTCTCAATTTTCAAAAGCTGTTTCCATTTTTTCCTTCCATTTAAAAAAATCCCCTTTGTCTTCCTTCCTTTCCCCATCATTCCTCCCTTGTTCCCTTTCCCATTTGAAAAAGTTCTTCCTACTTCCTAATATTTAGCCTTCATTTTGCTCCTTATTTACACTTTCGGTTTCTTACACACAAGAAACAATGTGATATTTAAGTTTCTGTGTCTGATTTATTTCACTTAAGATTTTGTTCTTGAGAGGCATACACTTACCTAAATATGTCTCAAGTTTATACATCTTTAGGCAGAAAATTACTCTAAGATATATTATGTGCAGGTACTAATTCCTCACAAAAATGTGATCATTATGCATGCTCAATGTGTAGTAATAAAAAATAAATATTAAAAAAAAGAAGTTTGCATGTATGTAGAAGTTGTTTACAACTTTAACAATTTTGAGCATTCTAAAAATCAATATTGTAAACATTAGTAGGAATGAAATTCTAATTGTTTGTATTTAAAACTAGGATATTTTCTTGATTATTACTTTACTTCTGAAAATAAAGTAGAAATATTAGAAATATTTGCAATTTCT